TTAAACAATAAGAACTTGTAAATTAATTATCCTTTGAAAAAAAAAATTTAATATTTGTCTGAACAATTTAAACAATAATAAATCTAAAATATCAAATCTAGCCAGCGCCTTTGTGTCGCAGTGGCGTGGTAGCTGCCTGTCGGTGGCCTTTATTAGGGTTTGATCCTTGCCTGCAAGCTCTGCTTGCCTACTCAAAAAAAAAAAAAATCAAATCTACAATATAATACTATTTATATATAAATACTAGGCTCGAACTTGATTTAATAATATAAAAAAATAAAACCAATAAAAATTAGTCCAATTGATAAGGTTATGAGTTTAAATATCACTATTAATGTGAGGATATTGTTAATCAGTAATTTATAAGAATTTTTATAAGCTGCTTTTTTAAACCTGAAAGTATGCCTGTTTTGAATGAGACTTTGAACCCAACTCATTTATGCTCTTTTGCATTAAAAGCAAAAAGGGGAAAACTTTTTTTACAAAAAAGTGATTGCAACAAGACTTACCGTCAAGTGGGAGGGGTGGGTCAGCATAAAACATTAAAACTTGCATCTAAAGCATAAAGATGGAGACAATATTCACATGACTACAAGAATAACGGATGATAATTGGGCTTTTTCTTCTTTTTTTTTTCTGTAAAAATATCTTTTTTTTATTGAAAGCAATCTTATTCAAAAGATTGTTCGCTTTAAATGTGAACATTTCTTCTAATAAAAATTTGAATATTTTTTTTTGGTTGCCCAGAGTATCCTCCCACCCAAACGGTAAGAGACTAATCTCTCGGGGTACTATCAGGCGCCGTAGCGGGGACCCCTCCCAACAGTGTTTTTTCCATACACACCGTTCTAAGGATCGAACCCAGGACATGATGTTTAAGAGACCCAAGTCCCTTCCACTTGGACTAACACTTGTTGGTTAAAAATTTGAATATTGATTCATCACTTATGAAAGATTAGTTCTTTTCAATGGATCTAACCCATTAGTAGAGTCTCTTCTTATTTATTACGCCTGTCTCTTCTCCTTCATGGGCCCAACTTATCCGCAAGATATTCAAAGCCAACATCTTAAGTTTTAACCAACGAGAATTATATTTAACAGAAAGTGTTAGTTCTCTACAATTTGGAAAACCAAAGTTTAAATTCTCACAGAAAGAAATACTCATATTTAGTGTCTAATAATACTTCAAAGAGGATATTATCCCCAGGCAAAAGTCAAAACAAAGCAAACATTTTCTTTAATTACTTTCCTTTTGCGTCAATAACAACATCAACACATGACACAATTCATGGGTATAATTTATCTTGATTGCACTTTATTTCTTTTATTTAATTTTTTTTTCACATTAATTACATTAATTTCACGATTTTGCTCCCATATTTGATACCTTATTAAAAGAAATAACACATAATTTTTACATAGTAATGACAGATGACAGAGTAAATTGGTTTCTTTGGAATAGATAATTCAAATGCTTAAAGAGTGCCCACATAGACATTTATATATTACCCATTGGTAATATTCTTGCATCATGAATTTTATTCTTGCCAACTTCTTATTATATCAACTTTTGTTGGATAATATATCACAAAAAAATTTATTAGGTAATACGATTCGTTAAGAATACATGTTCTGATTATTTTTTTTATTTTTAATTTTGAATTAATTGGAGGAATTTTCACAGTTAAAAAATAACAAAAATACATCAATACAGTGTCATATAAATAGTGATTTGGTCTGGAAAATTTTAGGGCGTCGACCCTTTAATATAAGAACTAATTTGACTTTTATTTTGGTCATAAATATAAGATCACAATCTATTTTGTCTATCATATTTATCTATTTTTTTAAACTAGTCATCGTATTAATGACAATTCTAGCTATTACACTTGATTAACAATGATATTTTAGAAAAAGATATTTATTTATTACAAATAACTAACTTAACTAATTTTCTTAATGTATCCAAATTAATCAATTAGCTTTTATATTAAGGACTAGGGATAGTACATATAAATTACATACTATTGTTAAAAATAAGATTTCTTTTCCAGAATTAAAAAATGAATATATATATATATATTTATAGAGAGAGAGAGAGAGAGAGAGAGAGCGTGTGCGTGTATGTCATAATAGTGCCCTACAAGTTGAAGTGATCATAATGAGTAACGTGGTGTTGAAGACGATGCCATTTGGTCTTTTTAGTTGGCATCATTTCTTATCACTTGTGACACATACTCTCACACTAATCACATATTTTTGACCTTTTTCTTTTCTAACTTCGTGCATGTCGTTAATTAGTTAGTTAGTTAACCCCCTATCTGCTGATCTTATTTCTAACCACAAAATTAACTACTTGATGATGACAAATTAATTAGGATTGATTTGTTTTTTTTAATTAATGATTTGACTTCTTATCTCCATTTATATCAAACTGATCACTTCATGTAAACGCAATCCAATGGAAAAACAGTGAAGGGATACTTCAATTTGAGAATCAAATCTCACCAAAGTAAATGACCATAAAAGTACTAATAACGTTAGCCTTAGTAAAAAAAAAAAAGTAACATAATCATAAAAAAAAAGACCATGAAAATAAAACTAAAACCTAATATTAAATTAAACTAACGAAAATGAAATTACAAACTAAATAAAGTTAGCGTTTTCTAATATGAAACGAAACCAATTAATAATCAAAATCTATCTATTTGTTATGTTCATATGAGAGAGGATCTCTTCCAGTAATTTTCTGTCCCTTTTTTGAGTTGCTGCGTTCTGTGGCCTTCAAGCTCTAGCTTATTGTCTTTTGTAATTAAAAAAAAAATATTTCATCTCATTGGTCGAAAATATCTCATTTTTTGGAAAAAAAAAATCTCATTTTTAAAAGACTTAATTATTATTTACCCCTATGAAAAAGAAACTCTAATTAGTAATAATGCGTATTGATACTTGCAAATGAAGCAAGTGACTATAGGTACGCGTTGGATATCATATCATGTCATTTAGTAGTTTCAGAAATATTAATCTTAATTACTGGGGGTAATTAAGTACTTTGCACGGGTTTCTCTAATTAATATGAAGAAACATGAAAATTAAGCCGTTAACGTAGAATGATCAAAATGTTCTAATTTAAGCAAATCTGATTGAAATTGAATTTAAATTGATCAGTTTTACGTTTAATTAAAAAAAAGAAAATATTAACGGAAAATATTGATTTAACATTGCGAAATTCCGGAATCTAGTTCCGAAAAATTATTTTTACGAAGAAATATATTATTTTTGAATAAAACTATTATTAACTTTTGATATGAGCTTAATAAACTAAAAAGTATGATTGAATGATAATAATAAATGTTATGCATTTTAATTTTTATGTAAGAAAATATTTTCCCGCTATTTAATTCTGCCTGTTTGTAGCTTGTGATTTTATTTCATTTTTTCGGCTACCAATAACTTCATTGGAATATATTTTTCCACGGGATCTCAATTAGGCCCATTATTCTGAATCTTTTATCTTCCCAAATGTTATGACATCTTTGGGCCATTGATGTCGCTTCTAGGCCCAAACAGTTTGGGCTCCACAGATTGATAGAAAGCATTTTTAATGTCCTGGAAAAAAGCAAAATCATTTTGTTAATTGTTTTATCTAATTTTTAAAAAGTTTTCTACAGATTTTTTTTCCTGAGTTCTTACAGTTTTATCTATCCTTATAGTTGGGAAATATATTTGATCTTAATTATAATATTTTTTTTACCAGCATCTTAATAATAATTAATAGCTTATTTATAAACTGTTAATTGATTTTATCTCACAAACTTATATTTTTTCCCAAAAGATCTCTATAGATTATACATAATTACAGAGGCCAGAAAAATTAACACAGATTTATTACAAATAATTAATTTAATTAATTTTTTTAATATCCCTAAATTATTTATTTAATTCTTATGTTAGGGATTAAAGGCAGTAAATGTAGGTTTATATGCTCATAATCTATAAATTATGGCTGATGTAGATATTGACTAAAAGTCCTGTAATTTGATAATACCTCTGGTCCTTAATATAAGACTTTATTTGACTTTTATTTTGATCCTAAATATGAGACCCCAATTCATTTTGTCTCTCATATTTATACATTTTTTTTGGAGGTAATCCTTCTAGTAATGATAATACTAGCCAATACACTTAATTAGCAAGGATATTTTAGGAAATACAATACCTATTTATTACAAATAACTACTACCTCTGGTCCTTAATATAAGACCTTATTTGACTTTTATTTTAATCCTAAATATAAGACCCCAATCTACTTTGTCTCTGATATTTATGTATTTTTTTTCAAGATAGTCCTTCTAATAATGATAGTTCTCACCAACACCCTTGATTAGCAAGGGTATCTTTGAAAAAACAACATCAATTTATTACAAATAACTAACTTAACTTACTTCTTTAATCTCCTCAAATTAGTCAACTAACTCTTATAATTAGGACCAGAGGTAGTACTTAATTTCTTTCTTTAATCTCTTTAAATTAGTTAACTAGCTCTTATAATTAGGACCGGAGATAGTATTACCTCTTATCCTAAATATAAAAAAATTAAATCTTACATTTAGAACTGGAGGCAACACAAAAATATAAAATAGAAAAAGAGGTTTTTAAAAATAAAATTTATGATCAACAAAAAAAAAAATCTATAACGGTCTCCTTACACCTCTTTAAATTCTTACTTGAGTATAACTCTACGTGTTTGATTCTTTGAGTATCACGAGTTTTTTATTATTGGACGAAGGACGGAAAAAAAAAATTTAAATGAGGGAATTTGATGTATTGTGAAGAAGGTTGACTTTGACTTAGCTATCTTCAGCAATATTTGACCGATCAACATTCTCCAGCGTTCAACATTTTTACCGATAAAATATAAAAAAACATACACTACGCCAACGAGCTTGCGGCGTCAAGACATTCGAATTTTCATCACTTGCAAAAACACAACGAAACATGTTCTAGAATCCCCTAATCTTTTTCTCATTGAATATTACTTTCTTTCAGAGATATGCTTTGACTGATGACTAATTCAATTGCGACTTGAATCTGTTCATTTATATGAATCTAGTCTATATAATAGTATGGCTAAAGCTCTTGGAAATGTAGAGGAAGAAGATAGGAGAGACATGAGGATGATGGGTTCACTTCTTCTTCTGGCGATTTTAGCGTTTGATTTGGTTCTAAACGTTTCTGCTAATGCCGAAGGTGAGTGGTAACTTTTGTGTTTGATGAATTTTGTGTTGTTAATCTGATGAGCTTTTCATCTTCATCAGAAGGTGGCATGTTTAATTTTAAATTTCTTTTCATTTTTTTTCAACTTTTGGTTCGTTGTTTGGGGCTTGAAGTTCTCATTGATCCCCATTCTTTACGAGTCTAGAATTTAGGAGAATGTGACAATGGCTAACCTTTAGCAAGTTGTTGCCCTGAGCCTTTTATTGGGAGGGTTACCTTGAATGAGAAGAGGAGACTTACAAGGCCCTAGGCTTTCTAACTCCAATAACTAGCTTTTAGGATGTGGTTCTTCTAAAAACTAGTGTTCATCATATTAGTGCTTTTACTGAGACTTGGCCAATCAAAGAGGGCTACTTATGAGGTTTCTAACTGGCAAGAGGCTGACTAAAATGCCGAGTGAAATGCCATATTATGGAGCCGTCAGGATGTCTTCTCTCGAGGGGATGCATTGTCATAAGTCTCATATTCGGAGGGCGACCTTGAAAGAAGAGGCTAATAAGGCCTTTGGTTTTCCAATTCCAACAGCTAGCTTTTGGGATGTGATTCTTTTGAAAACTTGTGCCGGTTACACCTATTTCTTATTTTTGTACATAATTCCCATTACAACATTGTTGACATTTTTATGTGTTCCCATAAAATTGATGAAATGAAGTCGGTTGTCACCTTCGTTTACCTTGTGTGGGACTAAACATCATTTGATATGACAGGGGATGCGCTGTATGCATGGAAGACCAAGTTGGTTGATCCTAACAATGTTCTCCAAAGTTGGAATGCTAGCCTCGTAAATCCTTGCACTTGGTTTCATGTTACATGCAACAGTGACAATAGCGTGGTCCGTATGTAAGTAATTTTTGCGATTTTTGAGCTTCATTTGAGATTCTTACTGCACACATAGTTTAAAATATTGATTTGCGTTTTCTCACAGTGATCTTGGAGATGCAAACCTTTCGGGTCCACTGGTTCCCCAGCTTGGTCAGCTCTCAAATCTGCAATATTTGTGAGTTGATTTGCCTCATTTTCTGATACCAATATTCTGTTTAATAATAATTTTTGATCGGTATTCTCTTCTGTTATCACCTGGCGGCTTCTTGAAAAATGATCTTATGAAAAGTACTGATGCATTAAGCAGTCAGGCAATGAACAGATTTCTTAATTTACTACCACAAAGCTCAAAACCTTAGTAGATATTAATTTGGTATTAATTCTCCACGTTGTCCTGAAGATAGATAAAATTAGTTGCTTTTCCTTCTCCATCGATCGAAACTACCAAGTCCTGATGTCTAAACTCTTCCGTTGTTTTTGGGGATAAGAGAAGCAACTCACTTAAACACTCCATTGAGCATCTCTTACTACTCAATGTGAGATTTAATATTTCAATATCACCAGGTCTCCATCATATCCTTTGTTATCACCTAGTAGCTTCTTGAAAAATGATCTTACAACCAGTACTACTATATTGAGCAGGCAGGCTATGAACTGATTTCTTAATTCACTGCCACAAAGCTTAAAACTTCAGTAGATACAATCACCTGAGACTTGGGCTTTGATTCTCTGTATTGTCCTGAAGATAATTCAAATAAGTTGCCCTTGGTATGGGCTATTAAAGAAACGATACGGACTAATTAGCCAACAAAGGAGAAGTGATCAGTTTGATACCAGAAGCAGCAAATAACTGTGTTTCTTAAACAAACCTTAACATTAAACTGGAAAGGCACAGCCATTTGCTTGGTTGTTTTAATTGTCACCAAATGGAAACATCCACTTCTATTACATTTCAAGGCTTCAATCCTTTGCATGCTATGTTTTCTGGTATTTTAATTATGGTTTTCTAGTACTATACTTTTTCAAATCTGAAATAATGTTGTTCTGGGCTACAGGGAAGTCTATAGCAATAATATATCAGGAACAATTCCGAAGGAGATTGGAAATTTGACAAAGTTGGTGAGCTTGGATCTTTTCTTCAACAGATTAAGTGGTCCCATCCCAGACACATTGGGCAACCTTCAAAGGCTACGTTTTCTGTAAGTCATGCTTTCCTTAATGTCTTTCTAGGATTAGTAGTTTCCACTTTGATAGATGGTTTAAGGTATTGTTATTTGTCCCTTACTATATATATTGAGCATGTGTCTCATGAAGAGATACACTTTTACTAATCCTTTTCTTGCTAAGAAGATCATTTCCTTTCTCCCATGTTTGGATGGGAGAATAAGTCGAGAGGAAGAAAATGGGGGGGGAATGAGGGAAGTGAACCCACCACATTTTCTTGCCAACTTTTCTCTCCAAATATGGAGAGATTTTGAGAAGAAAATTCTTCTTACACCTCTCATGCTATTTTCTCACTCCAACCAACTCACCAAGTCACCTTAAAAGATATGAAAAATATATTCTTTTCAATTTATTTTTAAATATATAAATATGAAAAATATATTTTTAGATGTTTTTACTTGAAAATTGTTTGATAATGTTTATTTTTGTATAGTTTTAATGATGACATGAGATATGATAAATTAGGATATAATGATATTATTGTCATTGTGACATTTGCTCATTTTATTCCTTGATACTTTCTCTCTTTTGTCCAAAGAGGAGGAATGATAACATTATATTATCAATTTTTTGCCTCCCTACTTTTCTTTTCATCCAAACGAAGAATATTAAACTCAATTGTAAATGAATCACTCATCTCTGCACTTAACATATTTATTCCATTTTTGGCGCGTTTAGTTTGCCAAGCAGAAATTTGGTACAGGTTAGCAGCACATTAATCATATTACTTGATAACTGCACTCTGAATTGGGAACCATACTTAGCTCTCCACTGTTCCATTAGTTTAATATCTAAAAACACTAATTCTCTCTGCTCTTTTTAAACAGGCGTCTCAACAATAACAGCTTATCAGGAAACATTCCTATGTCCTTGACTGCCATTGCCTCTCTGCAAGTCCTGTGAGTGTTACTGCCATGAGCTAGTTTTCTGCAACATAATGCAAAGATAATTAGTTGTACTTTCATCTAAAATTTTTAAAATACTGAAACTTGAAACCACTGTTATTGTTGAATCTAGTGATCTCTCAAGCAACAATCTAACAGGAGATATCCCAATCAATGGCTCCTTTGCATTTTTCACTCCCATGAGGTTGGTACTAATAATAATTATTTTTTTAATTGTTCTTTTAGCCGTCATGGCTATTTCTGTGGGATCAGCAATTGTGCTAAGTATCATGTTCCACTCTTAACAGTTTTCGGAATAATCCTGGATTAAAACCTCAAAAGTTCCCTCCACCTCCACCAAGGTTTCAAATTGCGCCAACTCCTTCAGGTTTGTGGATGTTTGTTTTACTACTACTTTTATATTTTGTTAGTTTTGTTTTTCTTGTTTCCAGTCTTATAATTAAAGTATCAAAACAATTCTTTGTTTGGTTTCAAGATCCATGTTTTTCATGCAAAGTCAACTGCATATGAAAGGATATGAAAGAATTGTACTGTTCTTAAGATTTCTGCTCATACCATATACTACCTCCGGTCCTTAATATAAGACCCTGTTTGACTTTTATTTTAGTCCTGAATATAAGATCCCAATCCACTTTGTCTCTCATATTTATGCATTTTTTTCCAAGGTAGTCCTTTTAATAATTGTAGCTCTAGTCAATATAGTTGATTAGTAAGGATATTTTGGGAAAGACAACATCTATTTATTACAAATAACTAACTTAACTTCTTTCCTTAATCTCCTCAAATTAGTCAACTGGGTCTTATAATTAGGACCGGAGGTAGTATATATTGAATTAGAGGGGCAGTCACTAATGTTTAAGGTTATAAGACGGACTGAACTCATAATTTTCTACTTGCAAGAAAATATTTATGCCATTAGATTATAAGGCTATAGGCTCACATCACAGATTTTCATGATGGACTCAGTCAATAAATTGAGTCAATCGTTAAAAGAATTAACAAATTGAGTCATTAAGTTTTCAGCCATCTTTTTATATGAAACTTGTATCAAACATCGTCTCACACACACACAAGCTCTGTAACAGACCTGATTTGTGGGGATTAACAATTGTGTTGTTGCAGCTGGAGGCCCCTCTTCTGCATAATCAGCTCCAACATCATGAACTCTTGCCCAGTTTCTGCCTATTTTCTCTTGCTTCTGGGCTCATAATCCTTCCAATTTGACAATAGAGAGACTGTTACCAGATGATGAGTTCCTATTTTGATAATTTCTGTGTGTGTGTGTGTGTGTGTGTGTTGATGGGCCATTATTTTGGCATACTGTTATGTATTACTCCTCCGGTCCTTATTATAAGACCCCATTTGACTTTTTATTTGGTCCTAATTATAAGACCCCAATCCATTTTGTCTCTTATATTTATGCATTTTTTTTCCAAGATAATCCTTCTAATAATGATAGTTTTAGCCAATATACTTAATTAGCAAGGATATTTTAGGAATGACAACACTTATTTATTATAAATAACCAACTTAACTTACTTCCTTAATCTCCTCAAATAACTCAATTGGGTCTTATAATTAGGACCGGAGGAGTAGCAGTTAGTACTGTTGTGTGAGTGGTTTATCAGTTGCAATGGATCGCTGAGATTACATGGTTACTAGTTTCCTACTTTCAATAAAAAGGCATACATATGCTCTTAATTTGCGCTTTACAGCACAAAATTTTTTTCAAGTATTTGCCTCATGCAATGCAAAATTATTTAAAATAAGTTAATCCAAACACCCTTTATACATACAATCTCCAATCTTTTTTATGAGATTCAATTAACTGAATCACACTGTATAAGAAATTTATTAATATTACAAATATGTAAGGATTGTGTGTTTTTTTTTCCAATCATGCCCTTTTTTATAAGAGGGTAAGTAAGAGAGAGAAATAATGAAAAAAGATTAAAGAGAATATATGGAATAAAAGATAATACAATTGATTAGAAGTATAATTGATAAAAATACATTTAATGTTTTAACAATCCTAAGTTAAATCTTATAAAAAGGACCAGATCAATTCGAAAATTTGAATCTTACAAAAATAGAAGAGCTGCTACTTTAAAAGCTGTAACAAGTTGTTGGTCAAACGGTTTCTCATCCACTGGTTATTTCCTATCAATGATGTCTCGCACGCTCCATTTTACATACTACAAATAATGGTAATATATTCTAACTTGGAATTATTTGTTAGTTCTGGAGTAAACATAAGTCTAATAACAAAATATTTTGGAAAAAAATAATTTGTCAATCGTTATAATTTCAACTCATCAGATATTATTATGGTTTTTTATTAGGTTCTTACAGTTTTCTCAATTATACAGATTAGCTTCTGTACATGCTACAAATAATCATAATATATTCTAACTTGGATTATTTGTTAGTTTTGAAGTGAACATAAATCTACTAACAAAATATTTTAGCCAAAATTAATTTGTCAATCTTTATAATTTCAATTGATTGGGTATTATAATTTTTTATTAGGTCCTTACAGTTTTCTTAGTTATAGGGATTTTGTTTTTGCCAATTTCTTAGTTATAGGGATTAGTTTCTATACCTATAACTTGTTAATAAAGACTAATGTGTGTGCTGATTAAGCGACATGTAAGTTGTCACAAACTAGAAAATAAAGAATTTTTTAAAATATAAAATGATAAAATAAAATTGTATTATTATTAACATAAAAAAAAAAGTTATTATGTTGATAACTATCTCTTTGTATCTATATATAATTTGTAATATATAGCTCACAGCCTCCATCGCTGCATGAGGTCCTGAAGTGGACCATCGTGCTGAAGTCCTCTTGTACGGTTCTATATTGAAAAAAGAATACTCCTATAGTCAACCTAATTAATTCATCTGAGTATATTAAAAATATTAGTTAAATTAGTTAACATGACATATTTTTTTAAAACACCCAATTATCTTTTTTGATTCCGTCAATAAGAATTTTAAAAAAATTAATAAATATGTGAAGGACAATTAAGTCTTATATTAAAGACTAAAGAAGTAATTTGTAATATGGTTTATCTTGATTTCACTCAGTACATGTAGCAAAATTAATTTAAATGTATGTTGAATAAGAGCCAAGTTATCAGCTAATAATATCATTTCGTTTGAAAATTAACACATTAACATTAAGACCCACTAAAAGAAAAAACTACAAAACTTGATAAAAAAAATGAGCTGGAATTATAGGAAGTTACATATTAATTTTTTCTCTCAATATTTTGTTTTTTTGTAATTGATCTAGGTCTAAGCGTATTTATAAAACTATTTGATATTCGCAATTTGAGCACATGAGCTAGGTCAATTACATGATTGCTGGACCATTAATTATTTTTTTAACATTGGCTTTGCAGTAAATATGTTGCAACAAATTTTTTTTTCTGTGATCTCTGAGCCTATTTATTGTAAGGTTAAGAAAGCAAATTAGATTGCAAATTTTTTAACTTTCTTGAGCATATCATTAACCAGATGAAGACTTGAAAAAAAAAGAAAGAAAAAGATCAAGTCACTTCGTAGTGTAGGAAGGTTGACTTTCAGTAATACTCTAAACTCTGAAGCATTAGATTAATCAAAGTTCTGGAAGTTCTTCAGAAGACAAATTCTATGTTCAACGTACTTAGTGACAAGATAATAATGATAATATTAACAATGATTAAAAACATAAACTATGACACTAAGAGGGTGTTTGGAAACACTCAAAATCACTTTTTAAAAGCACTTTTCCGTAAATCGAAGCAAATTCCTTCACATATTTACTTCGCATACCGTAAAAGTACTTTTAAGACTATGGTTCTGTTATTATCCAACCCCCCTGAAACGAACTTCCAGGATCTAGATGTTAGAATTTCAAGCATTGGATGTTGCGTGCAATAATTATATAGTCTTTTTCTCATTATATATTACTTTCTTTCAAAGATATGACTTGACTAATGAGTATTAAATTGCCACTTAATTCTGTTCATTTGTATCAATGTAATCTACATAATATGGCTGAAGCTCTCGGAAATGTGGCGAAAGAAGATAGGAGATATGAAGGGGGTGATTTTTTCTTCGATGGCTTCGTTTCTTCTTTTGGCGATTTTAGCATTTGATTTGGTTCTAAATGTTTCTGCCAATGCTGAAGGTGAGTTTCAGTACAGGCGTCTTTCAGTTAATTCTGTTTTGTTGAACTGATCATTCACCTTTATGTGTTCCCATGAAATTGATGAAATGAAGTCCGTTGTCACCTTCGTTCACCTCGTGGAGGACTAAACATCATTTGATATTAAGGATGTTTTCACCTTAAAATTGCTTTTCTCTATGACAGGGGATGCGCTGTATGCATGGAAGACCAAGTTGGTTGATCCTAACAATGTTCTCCAAAGTTGGGATGCTCTCCTTATAAATCCTTGCACTTGGTTTCATGTTACAAGCAACAGTGACAATAGTGTGACCCGCATGTGAGTAATTTTTGCGATTTTTGACTTTCATTTGAGATTCTTACTGCACAGTTTAAAATATTGATCTGTGTTTTCTCACAGTGATCTTGAAGATGCAAACCTTTCAGGTCCACTGGTTCCCCAGCTTGGTCAGCTCTCAAATTTGCAATATTTGTGAGATGATTTGCCTCATTTTCTGATACCAATATGCTGTTTAATAATAATTTTTGATCGGTTTTCTCTTCTGTTATCACCTGGCGGCTTCTTGAAAGGTGATCTTATAAACAGTACTGATGCATTGAGCAGTCAGGCTATGAACAGATTTCTTAACTTACTACCACAAAGCTCAAAATCTTAGTAGATATTAATTTGGTATTAATTCTCCATGTTGTTCTGAAGATAAATAAAATTAGTTGCTCTTCCTTCTTCATCTGTCGAAACTTATAAGTCCTGATATCCAAGCTCTTTGGTTGCTTCTTGAGATAGGAGAACCAACTCACTTAAACACTCCATTATCTCTTACTACTCAATGTGGGTTTTAATATTTCAACACCACCAAGTCTCCAGCAAACCTTAACATTGAGCTGGAAAGGCACAGCCATTTGCTTGGCTGTTTTAATTGTCACCAGCTGGAAACATCCGCTTCTATTACATTTCAAGGATTCAATCCTTTGCATGCTATGCTTTCTGACATTTTAATTATGGTTTTCTAATACTATACTAGTTCAAATCTGAAATAATGTTGTTCTGGGCTACAGGGAAGTCTATAGCAATAATATATCAGGAACAATTCCGAAGGAGATTGGAAATTTGACAAACTTGGTGAGCTTGGATCTTTTCTTCAACAGATTAAGTGGCCCCATCCCAGACACGTTGGGCAACCTTCAAAGACTACGTTTTCTGTAAGTCATGCTTTCCTTAATGTCTTTCTAGGATTAGTAGTTCTCACTTTGATAGACAGTTTAAGCTATTGTTATCTGTCCCTTACCATATATATTGAGCATGTGTCTCATGAAGAGATATACACTTTACTAATCCTTTCCTTGCCAAGAAGATCATTTACTATAAATATGGGAGAAAAAGTCAAGAGGAAGAAAATATGGGAGGATTGGAGTTTTTCCTTGCTTGTTTAATTTAGATGAGGGAAGAAAAGTGAGGAAAGAAAAAACGGGGAGAATGAGGAGGTGGATCCACCCCATTTTCTTGCCAACTTTTCTCTCCAAATATGGAGAGATTTTGGGAAGAAAATTCTTCTTACGCCACTTATGCTGTCTTCTCACTCCGACTAACCCACAAGGACACCTTAAAAAAATATAAAAAACGTATTCCTTTCAATTTATTTTTAAATATATACAAATATGAAAAATATATTTTTTCTCCACTAGAAAATATTTTCATAATTTTTATCTTTATATAGCTTTGTTAATGATGGCATGAGATATGACAAATTAGGATATAATGATATTATTAACATTGTGACGTTTGCTCATTTTTATTCCTTCATATTTTCTCTCCTTTGTCCAAACAGCAGGGTTAATAACATTATATTTTCAGTTTTCTCTCTATATTTTCTTTCCATCCAAACCAAGAATATTAAACTCAGTTATAAATGAACCACTCATTTCTGCACTTGAAATATTTATTCCATTGTTGGCACGTTTAGTTTGCCAACCAGCAATTTGTCATAAGTCAGCAAGACATTCTCTGAGTTGAGCACCATACTTAGCTCTCCACTGTTCCATTAGTTTAATATCTAAAAACACTAATTCTCTCTGCTCTTTTTAAACAGCCGTCTCAACAATAACAACTTATCAGGAAATATTCCCATGTCTTTGACAACCATTGCCTCTCTGC